GGCTCTCCTGCCCCCCCTCAATTCCTGCAGGCATTTGAATTTTCCACAGGCAGCATCTCTGCTGCTCAGTGTGTAATAATGCAGCTTCATCTTTAATGGGACCTGTATTGCAAAATGGAATTACATCTCTCGCATAGGAGTTTTGCTCTGGAATCTGCAAAGGCATATTTTAAAGCAGCCACAATTCCAAGCTTCCTGCTTTGAGGCCACTCCAATTGTAAAGAGATTTCTGGGGGAGGGGATATGGCTTTTGTGGGGCCTGGGAGTATCCATTCTCATCACAGACCAGTAAATTGAGAGTTCAAAGCTCAGGTCTGTAGGCACAAGCCCATATTTACTGTCCCAGTCAGGGTTCTAAAACTACAGAGTTGTGTAGACTTACCTTACCTTTCCCTTTCTTAAATTTTTAATATTAGTTCTGCAGTCCCTGCTTGTTCCTCAGTGTGCAAAGGGAAGAAGAGATTGTTTCCCTGAACATCTTCAATCTGGTGAAACCTGAGTGCTGCTCAGTCCCCACTAGAAGTGAATACAGGGTCCTGCTCCATACAAACTCAGCTTTCTGAGACTGTTCCGAGTTCTTTCCCTGTCTCCAAAAACCTCCATACACACAGATGGAGAAGTGGGTCTCAATACAGCCCTCCACACTGGACATGCTCACGTTCTGGGAGTGGTCAAAATCCAAACCTGGATCTAAAGCCTTTATGTTAAATTAGTCCAGCAGTTCTGTCCAAAGCTTTGGCTGTATTTGTCAGGTGGGAGATGGTCACATCTGTCTGCAAGGCCTCGGAGCTGCTGCCAACTGTGCAGTGTGTTAAGGAACTCATCATGACCAAAAGAAATCAAATGTATGAACTGAGCATACCAGTGCCAATGTTAAACACCCTATCCTACAACAGGACACAGAGGACCTGCTTTATCTCATCATGCCTAAGTCAGTTTTCCCAAGTTTGGGCATCTGGCTTTGGCTTGTTCGTTTACAGGAAGGGCTAAACAAGCTGGTGGCAAAGCTCAGCTTTGGTTTCATATTGCAGCTATGGCAGAGTTCACTGCTAGAACCTGGATGTAACTCTCTCTGGGCCTGGCAGTGCCATGGAGAGCGGTTGCTCCAGAATCAAGTGGAGAATTTCAGAGCAACAATGTCTCCAGAGGGGCCCTGTCCTGCCCTCCTTGGTTGGTGCCAAAACACTCTCTGAGCAGCAAAGATGACAGAGCTGCCAGCAGGCCACGATCCCCCTGCTCACAGCAGGGCTGGGGAGAGGATGACAGCAACAGGATGACAGTGAGACCATGAATAAGTGACAGCAGAAATGACTCAAACTTCCAAGGAGCTGCAGAGTCTCCATGTATACAACAGCCAGACAGCTCCTAGTCTGCTGCCTGAAGAGAGGTGGGAAACCTCCCACCGCAAGAAGTGACAGTCCTGGCACCAGTGTCTGTGGTGTTGGGACAGTGAGGTTCACAAAGCAAAATAACCTGCTTTGAGAGAACAAAAGGCCTCAGGGCTACAGAAAAAGGAGCTTCAAAACCTTAATAAAAAAAAATTAAGATAGGAAGTGACAGAACTCATTATATTAACCTGTGATCTTTGCCCCTTTAATAAAGTGAGTATCAAGGGCACCTGTGAGGTGATACCTCTGTGACCACAAAGCTTCTGGTACTGGATATGTAAATAAGGCAATTACATACCTAGATATGTCCAGTAGTTTCTGCTCTATTTGTGTATACATTGACACTTCCTTAAAACTGCAGCATGGTGGGAAGTCCCATGGAAGATGTGCCAGGTTCAGAATTGGGTCTGAAATGCTACTGCAGTAAAATGCTGTCTGTGGGAAAACATCTCTACCTGAACACAAACCCTTCCCACTGCTCAATATCCTCTTGTTTCAGAGCCATGACAGCTCATTCTCCTTGCTGTGACAGCTATAACGAGTGTTTATTTGAGGGAGGTGGGTTTTTTTTCCCTTTTTAAATTAAAAGCTAATTCCATGCATTGACTGATGCCCCAGAGGACAGACTCTGCTGTTACTTGATGGGACTGACAGCACAAGCAGAAACAGCCAACAACTCCCAGGGCCTACCAAATCCCTGTGGTTTAAGGTAGCTGAGCAAGGAACAGTTAAAAAGGAATAAATAGACACATCAGCCTGATGGACTTTGAGCAAATCTAATACTGACTGACACGACACCACTGGGGTTTTCTCAGTGCTGTTTCTTGTATTCCAGACTGTTCTGAGCTTGAAAGCCATCAGACAGTAACACCTTTTGGTCACTCATCCCTGACCCAGCCTGGATTTGGGCCGTTGAACCAGAAGAGAGTGTCACTGGCAAAACCCACTTTGTTTTGACATTGTCTTAGCAGACATCAGACCTTCCATTCACTGCCCAAGCATTAACCTGTCTGCCATCACTGCCTCAGACAGCCCAGCCAAGGGACAGACCTACATTCCAGCTGATAAACAATTCACTCCAGGCTCTGATGGGCTTTTTTGGAGGGATGACATGACAATGGGGTGAGGCCAGTTCGGGGGATATATTTTTTTGTGTTTTAAAGGATGCATTGTTAGACTAAAACACAAGCTAGAATTACAAAACCCTTGGAGAGGCAACTAACACGACCTGGTGTATTGATCTGCCACATGGAGATGAACATCCCAGTTGAGGGAGGGGCAGTACCTGATCATCCATGGTGTTAACCCCGTCGGGTCCCAGTGCATCAATCGCTTGGTTGATGAGATCTGTCCTTCCGCAGTTGAGCATTCGGAAGCCCAAATCCTGCTGGAATTTTTCAGTAGCAGCTTTAGCATCCAGTCTCCGGAAGGAACTAAAGCAGCATTCAGGTCTGTGGAGGACAAAAGAATTCCTGAGTGGTGCCCATACCATCAGGGTTAATGCAGTGGCAGTGAGGTGACAGTGCTGGGAGCAGTGTCACAGGCTGCACACCTGCAGCAACCAGGTCTTAGTTCTCCTTCTCACAAAACCCCCACCAAAACCCTGTTGGTTTCAATACTTATCTCTAACTATTTTAGATATCATATTTGTATTTTCCTGCTTGTTATAGCATACTCCATCAAACATACAAAAACATACTGCAAGGAGGAGAAAGAAGAGGAGAGAAAGTGTTTATTATATACCAGTATCATTCTAGGGTGAAACAATTCTGCTGCCTGCCTACCAGGCTAGCTGTTACTTTGAAATAAAAGGCATTTCTGAAAGGAGATACATATCCTTAGTCTTGTTTGGGGGGGGAAAAATAATCAAAATTTTAAAAGTGCAATAAAATGAAATACTGCAAGGAGGAGAAAGAAGAGGAGAGAAAGTGTTTATTATATACCAGTATCATTCTAGGGTGAAACAATTCTGCTGCCTGCCTACCAGGCTAGCTGTTACTTTGAAATAAAAGGCATTTCTGAAAGGAGATACATATCCTTAGTCTTGTTTGGGGGGGGAAAAATAATCAAAATTTTAAAAGTGCAATAAAATGAAAATAGTAGAGTAGAACACTCTTAACTCTCTCCCAACCCTCAATAAAAAAAACTGTGTTAACATTTCTATGAGGCCCTGTTAAATCCTTATCCTTTAGATGACTATCAAATGACCTTTATCTCATATCTGGAAGGAGCCCAGGGATTACTGTAAATCCTCTAGTTGTCTGCTCAGAGACTTCTGAATTCCAAACCTGGAAGTGTGTCTCCTTCACTGGAGAAGAAACAATTCCAAACTGGAGGTGTTTGCCCTTTGATGTTATTTTGGGGTGAATGCCTTCTCCACTACCCTTCTGGTTTCCAGCACAGGCTCTTGTGCACTCTCAGTGAGTGAGATATCACCCTGCCAAGTCCCTTTGATAAATGAGATGCTTTCAACACAGCTAACCTCTTCTGGAAACTCCAGAGAAGCAAAACACTCATCACTTCATGTAGAAGATTCAAGATGAATCTTAATTCAGCTGCTCATTTTTCCTTCTGAACTTGCATCGATGGTGGATGACAAATGGTGAGCAGATGCTGTGAGCAGTATGCTGAGCTAGCAAAGATCCCCCCACAGCCTGGTGACCAGTCACATTGTGCTGGGGAAACCAGCATCTCACCACAGCTGCTCTCAGAAAGGAACTGCATCAGGGTACAGTTTGGGGAACAGAGCAGAGAAGCAGTGACAGTCATAGAGCCACTAGTTGTTTGGAGATACAGCTGCAAGTAAAATGTGCCTCTGAGGCAGCTGAAGAGGACAGTGAGGTAAAAGGTTAAAGCTAGACGTCTAAATCCTACAACTAAGCTATAATGATCTTGTTCTACCAAGGTAGTTGGCACAGCACCTTGATGCTACAATGTTATGCAGAATACAATGCAACGATTTTGTATAATCATGAGAAGGAGGAGAAGAATCCTATGCAAAAAATAAGTGAAACAACATGACACCACTTGAAATCCAGTGAACCTCAGAAGCTAAAACTTTCTGAAGGGATGGCACTTGTCTTTGTACATTGTTCCTATTTTGCCAACAGGCATGATTCTACCCAGAGCTCTTGGCAGGCACTGCTGGAGCAAGGGTGGTGGGAGGACACTCACTGGTGAGCCCTGAAGAGCAGAACAGAACATTTGCACATAGGTGTGAGAGAACCCCAGGAAAAAGGTGAGCTGTAGTCCTTGGTGTGGGGCAGCCAGGAGGCCAATTTAGGTGCAAGAAGTTAAAATGTGTGAGATATACTGCTGGGGATCCACATTCTCAGCCCATGCAGAAATTCCTGTCCATATCCTGTTCTGTAGCAGTAGCTGGACACTGATCTTCTCTGAGGGATGCAAAGGAACTTTTTCATTTAGAGAGTGAAAAAAGTTAAAGCATCCTATAGAAGCCACGGGAGGAGAGCTCACTGCTCACTGCTGAGCAGCAGCTGTAACCACAGCAGGATTTCCATGTGTGAGCTATTCTCCTGTGGAGGAGAGAGGGAAACCCTTGCAGCTTCCAGAGTAAATCCTGTGCTCCTGCAGCTGCCCAGAGAGCAGCTTCTGTGTCCACCCAGCTGTGCCCAGGGGAGAGGCTGAAGGACTGGGGGTGGACTGGGAGGAACTGGGGAAGCAGAGCCCAGGGAGCAGGGGATGGGATAGGGCTGAGGTCCTAGTTTGGGAAGGGATAGCTTAGAGAGGGATCTTAGCCTGATGTGCTCTTTGCATTTCATTAGCAGTAACTACAACTAGAACTACTGGTAATGAGTGATTTACATTTGGCCTGCAGTGAGGAAAAATAGTAACCATAAAAACAGTGTGTGATAATAATATTAAGTCCCCAATATTTATATTTAAGTAAGTGGAAAGGAAACACAGTTCTCTGCAATCTAACATTTCCCTGCTAAGATTCTCATTTAGCCAGTAATAGGTGAGTACTGGAGATGTTTATAAATCATCTGGCAAACATAAACTGAGACAAACAGCTGTTGTGGAGGACTGTACTGCCCAGCAGTCTGTGGCATGGAATAGATATTAGAGGGCTGAAATTTAGGTTATGCTAATTATACTCTGTCCTGCACAACTTCTCTTTCAGGGATTTCAACATACAGTACCTGGTGCATCACCCCTGCAAGGAACTATCATTACATAACTCTTAGCTTGGGCATCATGAGGAAAAGTGAGTTGCAATTTGCCTGCAGTCACACAGCAAGCCAGGGATAAATCTGGCTTCAGTTCCAAGATTTCCTTTCCCCCTGAAAGTGTTGTAATGGCTGGATACAAATGAATGCTTTAAAGGATCATATAAATAGGCACTGGGAATGAGGCACTGCTCTCTTCCTATGGCTTTTTTTTTCTGATAGTTTTAATCTTTCATGCAAGGCATCTCAAAAAGCAAAGAACAATCTTGCAACTAGGGCTGAGGCATAAAAAATACCCCAAATATTTGTTTTTCAATCCTTCTGTCTCATTCTTCCTACATAACTTTTGGCAAGACAAAAATCTTTCTAACCCAACTGCAGATTTAGGCCAAAGCTTCTTTATCTCTTGGAGTACTCAAAGGTTAAAAAATGTGTATCCCCTGTACAGTACTGTGAGATGTGGCTCCCCCGAAATGCAGTAAGAGGAATATTATAGGAAGTTACAACACTTTAGGTGCTTCTAAAGCTGAGTCCACATACTTTAGCTGCCGAGGCTCACAGTCCAGCCCGGGGAGGAGCAGTCTGGCTGTCTGCCTGATGTCATCGCTGTCCACGGTCAGACTGCGCCGGTGCTCGGCGTAGGTGATGGCCACTCGCATCCACTCCATCAGAGGTGGCAGGAGCATGAAGGGGCTGTGCAAACAAGAAAAAAAAAAATCCATTATTTAACACTGGCTGCTGCAGAAGAACACTGAATTACTTCCTGGGTGTGCAGGTAGGAGGTTGGCATGGATAAAATCTGCGTGTGGCAGCAAACTCTGTCCTGTGCTCAGCAACACTGGCAGGTCACAGCAGGGGGAAGGAGCTGGAACTGCTTGGCCTTGGTTACCTAAACCACTTTAACACTGAATTACTTCCTGGGTGTGCAGGTAGGAGGTTGGCATGGATAAAATCTGCGTGTGGCAGCAAACTCTGTCCTGTGCTCAGCAACACTGGCAGGTCACAGCAGGGGGAAGGAGCTGGAACTGCTTGGCCTTGGTTATCTCAACCACTTCTTACCCAAAATAGGGACATGCTTGTCTCATGCAATACATTTTGCCCTGAGACTGAATAGCAGGGACCTACTTCTGCTATTCTTAGCTATAGGTCAAGGCCTCCCCAGCTCAAGTGGCCAAGGCCACTCAGAAAGGCTCTCATCTCAGGGTGCAGCTTATATAATAATAATTGTCTGTTGTTCAAAATAATCCCTGTGTACAGGCTGCTCCACCACTAGGAAGACAGAAAATATTTGTGATTGTTTGAAACTTCAGTTATACCTGGCTAATTCAGTCCTACCTCCTTTAATCTTCACATCACCACTCTCTGATGGCTTTCTGCATCCTACATTTCTTAGATGGCAGAGCTCAGACCTCTATTTTTGCCCACCTGACCCTCCAGACCACAGCACAACTGGTGGAGCAGGGAGGTTTTACTCGATATGAATGTTTTCAAGGCATAAAGGGATAAAAATAAGGAAATAACAACAGCACTAGCTTGTGATTAGGCCATTCTCACTCCTGCTGTAAGCAGGAACACAGTACTGGGATTGCATGTTAATATATAGGCACCATAATACTCTCATAGACAACATATCTCATCCACCCTCTCAATGTACAGCCAGACTCATCCATTATTTGCTGGATTTTCCCCCAAGGATACCTGCCACCTCGGTGGAAGGCTTGGAAGTGCCAGCTGTAATGAAAACACCTCTCCCATTTCCAGTAATGACTATATTAAGGCTGTGGAAAAAAATAGCCTTTTCCATTTAAGCATTCAAAAGAAAATAACTGAGGGGAGAAAGTACCAATTCCTTTACAAAGTTCAGAGAGAAAGATACATATGAGGGATTCTGAAATGATTTGGGCATTAATGAAAGCAGCTGAAGCCATGAAAGGCATTTTCAAAGCTCTGTGTGTGTACATGCACACACATGTGAGGGCAGTGAGAGTGAGCAGCACCAATCCCATCAGAAACCATTTATCCATAAAGGGATTTGCAAGCAGAACTCCCTTTGTTATGACTTTGAACACCCTTCAGGGTGGAATAACTCCACTCCGTAAATTATGTGCTGTTTCCATTTTGCCACCCTAAAACGTTGCCATCATCACTTTACAAATACATCCACTATTATTCCTTCTTCTTTTCTTTGGACTAGGGAGTCAGCCCCTACAGACTCAGAGGTGTTTCAATCGCCTGATCCATCCTGGCTTGCCAGGGCAAGGGTGTTTTTAACAGGACATCGACTTACTGCTGTTATCAGTTTACTTTTATGTCAAACAATCAAAGATCAGAGTTGCTACATTCATCACTCTGAAGATCACCCAGTAGCTCATCTGTTGAAAGACTTTCTGAAAGGGATGAGTCACTCCAGCCCAGCCAATTCAGAGCTGATTGACTTCCCTAGGGGAAGAGCAGCAGTTGCCAACAGGCATTTGGAGAAACCTTTCAGCAGACTATTCCAGAGAACTTCAGCCTTTATCTGACCTGCAAAGGAGGCATTTACAGGTTTGAAATTCAGGCACTTAAGGGAGGAGCCGAAGTTAATCATCCAGACTTCCTATGTCCTCTACAGAGCATCTAGGATGGGATTCAAAACTCCAGAGAGGTGGTGAGGACAGAGAGGAAGGCTGGGGAGGCTAAAAGCACCAGAAATAAATAGAGAATTAAATTAAAGTTAGATGGGATGAACAGCTCAGGAGCACTGGAAAAGCTCCTCTTACAAGCAATTATATCTGCCAGCTTTTGTGGTAGATAAAGACTTAGGCCATGTCATATCTTCCCTGACACTCCCATGGTGGGAACACTGCAGAGACCCATGTGGATCCAGCAGAGCCCTGATCCACCCTGGGGAACTGCTACTCACTGCACTGGGCAGGCAGAGACTCTGGTCAGCCAACAGCAAATACCACGCAGTCTGCAGCAGAAATAACACCTATCCCGAAGAAATTTCCATTCTGTTAAAAATCCACAAGTGCCAGGGTTATAAATGGCTTCCACACAAGCAGACCTTCAATGTGGAAAACCTCTTTGGGAGGAATGGGAAGGAGAAAGATTTTTTTGTTTCTTTTTTTTAATCTCACCAGATTTTTTCCAAAGGCTTTAAAACTGACAGCTCAGACTGCTTAGTTACCCTTTTGATTGCATAAAGGAATGTCAGGAAGGATGTTCTCATCCTGCTGTCCTGGTTTTCCAAACCTCACCACTGGCATTGCTGTGCAAATTGGATAAATTATTCTTTATTATTCATTATTCTATCAGGGGTGACAATAACTACACTTTAATTGTTATTTTGCTGTAAAAATTTTACCTCTTTCTGAAATTTCTAGCTTGAGGATAGGTTTTCTATTCCTCCCCCCACTCTTTTATCCATGTATTTCCTTTCTCCATACCAAGGCCATGCTCATGGGAACAGCTTTATCTTACTTTGCTCACTGACACTCCACTAGATAAGCAGCATTACCACACAATTGAAGCAGAAAGAAGAGATGCAGTTCAGCTGAATGAAACACCAACACTGGGTCACATTGCACTAAGAAAATAAATGCAATTATTCCTTTTCTAGAAAATAAAACACAATTCTCACCCCTCTGGCCCTTAACCTGGGCATCCATCTGCCCCTAGGGAAACACTGATCATTTCACAGTCTGAAAAACACTGCAGGAGGGGAAGGGAAGAAACCTTCATGGAAAATTAACTGGGAGATGCTGCAAGCTAAAGAATTAATTTCTGTCTGTGCATCCCTGTCTGTGCCATTTTCTGCACAGTGCCATTTTCCTCTGGACTTTCTGACATTTAGAAGCATTTGGCAGCTCATTAAATTCTGCACGTGAAGTGATCAGCCTTGGGAAACTGTCATATTCCAGCAGCAGCTCACTGGGGACACACTCCCTCTGTTCTCTTGGAAGAGGAATGTCACCATTGCTTTGTTCGGTTCTCTGCCATGAATGTCTCTCAGTGATGCCACATGTGAACTGGGAAGGACACAGCACTGGAAAGTAAAATGGGCACTGCTCATCTTCTGTCCACCTTGTAAAGAAGCCCAGTGATGTCTGAGACTGTCACGTGCTGTCAATATTTCATCCATAGGTTCTTCTGAAATTCTCTCCATTTAGAACTGGACAGCCACTCCATTCCCAAAGGGATCAGGCTGGAGCTGGGTGAGGTGTGCTCTGACAAAGAATAGACTTCACTGTGGGCTTTTCCCCCTTGTTTGAACTAAACCACATTGTTTTATTTAGATATAACCAAGGATGCCAAACAGCACTTGGCGAAGAATTTATAGCAAGTTGTAGTAACTTTTTCCTGGAAAAGGTACTACACTCCTTTGATTAGACTGGCCTTGGCCATGACCAGCATGTGGAGATCACATGCAGCATCCTCCAGAAGCTGTGGGATCACAGACTTGCAGTGATAACTCATGGGTAGAGCTCGTCCTGGGGAGATTCCAGCTGAATACAAGGGGAAAATTTTTCACAATGAGAACACTGGAGTAGTCTCCTCAGGGAAGTGGTGGATTCCCCAGTGTTGGACATTTTCAAGACTGGCCTGGACAGGGTGCTGGGCCACCTTGCCTAGACTGCTCTTTTGCCAAGAAAGGTTGGACCAGATGATTGTTGAGGTCCCTTCCAGCCTGGTGTTCTATGACCTATGATTCATGTCTCACAACCCCCCTAGTTTCCAAAGGGGGATTTTTAAGAGTTCTGGGATCAAGATATTTTTGGCAGAGGGAAGTGTTTGCAAAGAGGAAAGAGGTCCAGATGAGTTAGAAAGTTGTGTCATCCCTCCTCTGCACTGGATACTGGGATAACGCCTTGGAGCTTGACCTGTTCACCCCTGGGAGGTGAGGAACACCTACTACCTCAGGTGAAAACAGAGGGGCTTCCCAGAAAAAAAACAGCCACACTATCACATTCCTTCCTCCTCCCTGGGTCTCCAGGAGGGTCTCAGCAACAATACTGCTGAAGAATCACAGAAGGGTTAGGGTTGGAAAGGACCTGAAAATTTCTCTCTTTCCAATCCCCTGCCATGGGCAGGGACAACATCCACTAGACAAGGTTGCTCCAAGTCCTGTCCAACCTAGAAGTAAAAAAGGAGAGGAGGAATAAAGCAAGGAGGAGACATTTTCCCTGCAGACACATCTCTGCTATTTTTCACTGCCTTCTGTTTTGCTACAGCAAAACAAAGCAGGAGCCAACAGTGACAGCAACAGCAAGAAAGAAAAACCTTGTTCTTCTAAACAAGACTCTCCTTCTTCTAAAGCAGGAAAGAAAATACTGTCCTGATGGAAGCAGGTCAGAATGGCAAAATTCATCTCCCCCTTGGTATTCTGAGCAGGTCCTGACACACACATGCAGTTTCCCATCCAGCCTAGCCCACAGCCTTCTGAACAGCTGACTGAACAGCTTTCTCCTCCCTTCCCCTCTAACTGCTGCTCTGTGAGCCCCTGCTAACATTTCAAACATACACAAACTTTAATACTGCAAACACATGTAAATATCAGAATACTCATAGCCAAAGTGGGGCAGCCCATGGTAACTCCCTGTATCTGATTTACTGGAACTACACAGAGGCTACTGCAGAGAAGAATCCCAATTTTTTATAGATCATTGCTGGTTTTTTGCAAGGGATTAAAGAGAAAGGTTTTCAGTGCAGTG